TTACAGGAAGGCTGGTGGTGGACACAGCGTGGTTGACCATCCAACATCTTGCACATGGTTCCTTTGGGACAGTGGATGTCACTACAAGAAGGAGGTCCTGAAGACATCTTGGTCTGGACACACCATGGCGAACCATCAACCACCTGGCATGTGGTCCCCTTCTGGCATTGGATGTCTTTACAGGAAGGCTGGTGGTGGACACAGCGTGGTTGGCCATCCATCACCTTGCATGTGGTTCCTTTGGCACATTGGATGTCACTACAAGAAGGAGGTCTGGAGGACACCTTGATTTGGAGACACCGTGGCCAACCATCAACCATGTGGCACGTGGTTCCCTTCTGGCACTGGATGTCCTGGCAGGATGGCTGTTGGTGGACACACTGTGGTTGACCGTCCACCATCTTGCACGTGGTCCCTTGGTGACACCGCACATCGGTGCAGGACACTTTCACCATTGGATGGACCTTGGAAGCTTTCCTGAACCCCGCCCTCGCGGGAGAAGCCGATTGGTGGCGGGACGGCCCCCTCTGCACGCAACGTGGCCAACCGTGCGCCATGAGACACGTTGTCCCCTTCGGGCAGCGGAAGGTGCTGCAGGAGGGCGGGTTGTGGACGCATTTGGGCCAATCGCCGACCATCTTGCAGACGGTGCCTCGAGGACATTGGATGTCGCCGCAGGTGGGCAGGGGACCGACGCACTTGGGCCACCCGTCCACCATTTTGCACGCCGTGGCCTCCTGGCAACGGATGTCCTCGCAGGTGGGGGTTTTGTGGACAATTTGGGAGTGGGAGGTCTTCATTGGTCCACACCAAGGCCACCCGTCGACCATGTGACACACGGTTCCCGGCTGGCACTGAACGTTGTCGCAGGAGGGGGGGTTGTGGACACACCGTGGATGGTCATCCATCATCTCGCAGGAGGTTCCTTTGGGACATTGGACATCCCGGCAGGGGTGTCCTGGGGACATCTTCCTTTGGACACACCGTGGCCAACCGTTGACCACCTGACACGTGGTCCCCTGCCAGCATTGGATCTTCTGACAGGAGGGCTGGGCTTGGACGCAGTGGGGCCACCCATCCATCATCTTGCACGTGGTCTCCTTGGGACAACGGATGTCATGGCAGGAAGGTCTCCTTGAGGACACGGTTGTTGGGACACACCTGGGCCACCCATCCATCATCTTGCACATGGTCTCCTTGGGACAATGGATGTCATGGCAGGAAGATCTTGAGGACATCACGGTTGGGACACACCTGGGCCACCCATCCACCATCTCGCACGTGGTCTCCTTGGGGCAGGGCTGCTGGTGGCACGAAGGTGGCCTGTGGAGAGCCGGAGGTGGTGGCGCCTCCCTCTGGAAGAGCTGCTTGCGCACGCATTTGGGCCAATCGTCCACCACCTGGCAATGGGTCCCCTTTGGGCAGCGAATGGCGCGGCAGGAGGGTGGGAGGTGGACGCATTTCGGCCAAC